TAGGTCTATTAAATTCCCTCTTGTTTGCAATAAAATTAAGAGTTCTTCCTTTTTCCTTTTCTTCCTGTATCCCCAGACTCTAAATAATTTTCTTCTCAACTATCCATCTTTGCCTTCCTCTCTCCCTTAACTATTCCTCCGTTTCTGTCCTTTCTTATCCTCACCAATGATCCAGTCTGGTGATTTGGTTCCCTTTTGAAAAGGAAACAAATGTAACAGAGAGATAATGTCATAAACACACCAGTATCTCTGGGAGGAAAACTGATGGCACAGATAGAGACCTTACTAGTCCTCTCTATCTCATAAATATACAGTCTACACATATTTCTCAAAAGTTATCAAAACCACACTCTCAATGATGTTCCTAAATGAGCAAAATGACAGGGGGAATGTCTCCTCCCTTTAGGATTTACAAACAATGCTCACACTTGTTCTGACACCTCCTTCTCTCCTAATGCTGATTATTAGCAGCCTATATGCCCCATTTTATTTAAGATCTAATGATCCTACAACAAAATAATAGAAAATAATTGTAAAGGTGATAAAAATAACTCCACTGGCATAGCCTATTCATTCCTCTCTTCCTAGATGAGGCCTCAGAAGCAGGTATAACTTTTGCTTAATTCAAAAAGAGAAGTGGTTGTGCTTTCTAAAAACTTGACTGCATGTCCCCAGTTATGGCAAATTTCCCTTTGGACTTTTATCTAGCTCAGCACATTTCAGGTACTTACTTTCCACCATTGTCCCTTTGGTAAAGAATCATGCCAACGAGGTCATGAGCCTCTGAGAGCTCCATCCATGTGCAAGTCACCTGTGATCTGTAGTCATTGTAGCACCTCAAGCTTTTCATTGGGATACTCTCTGGAAAAGGAATTCAGGCAAAAAAGATGCAGTGATTAAAAATATAAACTGTGAGAGATAGCAGGAGGTATAGAATGGGTAAGGCACTGATAACAGTACTCTCTTCTTGACACCAGACAATCACAGACTCATAGAAATGTTTGGGTTGGAAGGCTCCTTAAAGATGATGTCATTCCAGCCCTCCTGCCATGGGCAAGGACACCTTCCACTACACCACTGTGCTCAGAGCCCCATTCCATCTGGCCCTGAACATCTCCAGGGATGGGGTGTGACTCCATGAATATATGTGCAGAGCTGTGACCATTCTGCACATCTCCACAATGCAAAGTGTCCAAACCAAGCTACAACTAACAACAGGTAAGTGAAATCTTTGTGCCTGCAAGGCATACAGTTCTAGAAAAGGCTTTCAACTTTCACTTTTCAAACACTGAGTATATCCAGGGATTAGTAGATACCATGGTCAGCAAACATATGGTGATCATTTCCTACTTATGTGTTGCTGTGTGAACTTCTTTGCTACTAATTTCCCAGTAAAGTCTATAATGCTAGAAAGGTCCGTTTAAAAGAGATGCTCTGGGAATAGCTTTTGCTATGACTCAGAAGAATGTCCAAACTAATTTGTTGGAACTAGATTTATGATCCAGAGATTGCCAGACCTCTCATCAAGGATATTTTTTTTTAAGTCCACAACTGTGAAGCTGAAAAATACAGACTGCCTCTGGCACATGCACTATGAAGCAAGCTGCTTTCTTATCCTTGCTTATTTTCTCTGGAGGTAATATCCACACTGCACTGTTGGGATATTGCACCTTCAGGTGACAAAGGTGCATACATGAGTGTGCTCTCTCAAATAATATTTCTTGATGAGAGCTATAATCAGCTTGTTTGAGGGGCTTTTTACAAGCAAAACCCCATCAGCACAGAATGTTGCTGTCTTAGGAGGCATAAGAGGGACCTTACTTTGATCTTCTACTGAAAACCAGTACAAAGTAAGTTTTACTGCCTTCCTTGTGTAACCAGAAAATGGAGCATCCCACATAGAAAAGGATGTGGAAGTGTGGATGTGGGGCTAAGGCTCAGAATGCCAAGAACACAGTCTGACCTACACAGCAACACATTTTCCTTCAGAGAACTCAAAGGAAGATATCCTGTAATTGATGCTGGGCCAGGCAGCACCACTCCTCCAGCTACTGCAGACATGAGGCATCTGCATTGGAAAAGGAAGATGTCCATGGGACACAACTCCTGATATCACTCTTTTCCTGCTGTCTTTAGGATGGCTATAGGCCTAGTCTTGTGGCAGCTGTGGTGTACTTCCCATTCCCAGCTCTGTTAAATCAAATCAGGGGGCAACAGAGCATGGGAGGAAGAAGGAAAAGGGAAGGAAAAGGGAAGGGAAGGGAAGGGAAGGGAAGGGAAGGGAAGGGAAGGGGAAAGGAGAAATAAGTTCTCATTGTGTAAGAAAGGAAACACAAGCAATGGATAAGGCAGATGGTCTCTTTATCTGTCAGCTATTCCACAAAAAGAAAATCAGGTCATCTGGATTTTGCTCTTGGTAGCCCCCACCACACTGTCTTGTGTCTGGCCACATGTCTCTACTCCTGTGCACTACCATCTGAATTAGGCAGCCCTTCATTTTCCTATGTTTTCACTAATTATCGGGGTCTATCCACTCCTTCCATTCACTCATTATCCAATCAGCTTTTTCATCTCATCCATTTATACAGTATTTCAACTGTCCATACCACCAACATACAACTGATTTGGCTGCACATACACCTGCTACATGCTGCTTTTGCTGAGGATATCTGCTCTCTTACAGCTTAGAAAACAGGAGAAGAAAGCAGAAAAGCAAGTAGAAAAGGAGGAAGAACATTAGCTGAAATAAGGAGACAGATTTAAAAAGAAAGGCAATAATGGAAGGATAAAAGAGAATATAAATTTGAATCTCACCTTGAATAGCTTGAACATGGAAGACCAAATACAGATGGAGCAGCAGGATGAAAATCTCTTTCATGTCCATATTGTCCTTGGCACACAGGATTGGTCCTAACTCAGAATTTCAGAGTTTTCATTTCCCACTCTTCCCCTGCTTACCGTAGAGCTGTTTGTTTCCGTTTCACATAAAGAGAAGTAAAACTGAATAAGGGAACTTCTTTAAGATCACGTTGAAATGGCATTCAGGAAGAACTTATACCAAGCATTTCTTATAGGACAAAATTCATGTCTTCTTGTTGTGTGTTGTTGCAATGCAAGCAAAGAATGAAGTAAATCCCTTCCAAGGAAGTTCAGGGATTCAGTCAACTGAGTAGCAACAAGAAAAAAATCCTAATTTGTGATGAGAACTCATCCTTAAAATTAATTTCATTCTTCTGCTCTTTATGCTTAAAGGCTTTCGACTGTACCACAACAGTGGTTAATTTCCTTAAAAATATGATCTCACAGTTCCTAGGAGCTATAGTGGTTGGATTTCCATATTCATTCACTTTGAGAATTTCCTTCAACTTTTCCCAGTGCCCCGCAAACAAGTTGCAAATTGCAGACAAACTACCAAAGAAAATATTTTTTTTTTCTTGCTGATTGTAGAAAGTTAAAGCAGACTGAGCAGTTCCAGGACCATGGAACACACTGTTCAATACTGGAATTTAAGTCCTTCTGGCTATCTCTCATCACTCTCTCAAAATCATAATACACACACCTACTTAAGTATGCTACAGTTCTGAGACTTTTTCTACTTTAGGGGAGCAAGGAAAAACCCCTTTTAAATTCTTATTGACTTTCAGATTCCCAAAAGCCAGTTCCTCGGACGGGAAACAGCTGGCTGAGCCCTTGAATAATCATTCCAGCTAAGGAATCCCTCAGTAACAAATCCTTGTATGAGAGCAGACTCTACCATTATGCTTCCCCCAGAAAGGAAGCCATTCCCTTACCTGAATCCAGGAGTGTCTGTGAGGCAGATGATTCAACCTGATGGGTGACTCTCCCTGTCCAGCACCACCCCCCAGCACCAGAATCCTCTGATGCAGATATCAGAGAACCCACACTTGTCTAGAACTGGAGACAGAAGTATAAACCAACCACACGATTTTCTTAGCAAGTAAGTCTTCAAAATAACTACTACATCTTTTGTGAACCTCAAATGCCACTTTCAGAGAAGCTGACACCCCCCTTTCAAGGAAAGTCTGTGCAATTGCACAAAATAGGAAGTCTGTACTTCCTATTTTAGCCCCCAAAGCACGCACTTAGATGGGACTGTTAGGTTAACTGGGAAGGGAGGGAAAGGAAGTTTGTCATTGCCAATCTGTGTGTTAGCAATTACCAGATCATGAGACTTATGTATTTTAAGAAAGATACAGGACTGGCTGCAGCAGAAGTAAGAAAGATGAAGAAAGAATTTTCTGTTTTTCACTCCAATGCTGTTTCTTGCTTTGTTCTAGACCAGACAATCTTCATGGCAGGGATCCCTCTGGACTTTTGTTTGTACTCTGTATTGGGGGAGAGTGAACTACCTTTATTTCTGTAACTCATAATTTTTAGTAATATTTCTAAATTTTACCCACGTCAAAAACACATAATTAATATGTATATTAGTATAATATACATATAATATCATTAATAATAAATTACAAGTACATAAAGTAAACAAAAGAAAACTGGTAAGAGTAGTTGATCTGAAGTAGTGGATCTTGGCGACATCCAAGGTAGCCTGGTCTTTTAATCCAACCATAAAACTTAGCCCAGTAGCCTTCAAAAGTAAACCTTAGGAAAGTTAGGCAGCCATAAGGGAGAGACATGCTCAGGTTTGTGTTCTCAGGGATAAACTAAGAGGGGCTCATATCAGTCCCCAGATACAGAATATAACTGGCAGAATCTGACTGTCGTGCACTGCTACTCCTCCTTTAAATCCCCATGGTACTGACCAAAACCACAGGTAGCACAGTTATTCTGTCATCAGAACTGCATCAATAAACAAGCAAAAAAAAAACCCAAAAAAAACCCCTATCATGTGAATAAGGGAAACATGCAAAGCATGACAAAGAATATGGAGAATATCTGTGTGTGAGAAGGTGTCCATATAAAACCTGCAGACAGTTAGAGGAATGTATAACTTGGCTGGATGGGAAGAATTTATTTTGCATTGCAGTTTAAAGGCAGAGGGGGATCGTCCTGCCCTGATTTTCAAAGGCCAGTGTGTTTATGTTCTTCCAGCACCCTTATAAAAGAGGACAGTTGTTTCCTAGTAGACATTTTCCTTCCCTTTCCCTTCTCATTGAAAATGTTCCTCCATTTTCAGAGAGACATGCTGAGTTGCTGCTTACATCACAGGATCCAGCTGTCAGTGAAAATCTCTGAGTGCCAGTTGCTCTGTTGAACTCCAGGAACAAGTAACAAAGAATCCTGCACACCAGAAGCTTTGCAGTCCATACCTGCCATTAGGTTTCAAACTTACAATGCATTTTCTTACATATCACAACATGTAATATCACTGACACAATCATTGCTGTTACTTCATCTTCTTTCTAAATAACATTGCTACAATGCCTCTGAAGCAGGAAGTCACATTTTGTAATATTTTAGTAAAATAATGTCAAGAAGCACCCCATAAAAAAACACCCACTTTTAAATAAACATTGACGAACTAATGTTTAACTTTATTTGTGAAGAATCTGATACAGTAATTTCTTGTTAATTCTACTTTGAATGCAGTGTCAGAAAGCAGAAGACAGAGAAGAAACTGCTGTTTGAATAGATATCCTACACATTTTCCCAGAACATGAAAATAAGTGGATTGTACAATTATATAAAGGTCTATAAGGAACACCACAGGTGTACTAGGTTTGATTCACAGAATTCAATAAACTGGTCAGTGGAAAAGAAGAAAGCTAAGATGGGCTGCAATTTCTTCACTGCAATCCAAAAAAGTTTTCTTGATGCTCCTAGGACAAACTCTGAACACCCAGTCAGACTCCAACATGAGAGAAATAATTACACAATGGCCCACAAACCTTCAAATCAGCAAATGAAGAGAAATTTATGAGAGTCTAGAGAAAAAACAAAAGCTTATGAAGACATTCTGGACAAATAACTAGCCTTGGGAGTGAGAACAGAAACTAGAGCAGGTCTAGGGGCTCAGGAGACCTCTGTTGCAGGCTGACACTGACTTGCTTTGTAAACATGGCTCATTATTTTATTTCTCTATTCCTCACATTCTCTGGTCTCTTTGTGGATGTCTGTATTGTAGATGTGTGCTAAAAAGCTGAAGAAGTTAACTAAGTACAGATTTTACACTGAAAGGTAATATATCACTAAAAATTACTCATTTCAAGGACACTTCAAAGACATGTTGAAGGAAACTGCCTGCAGAGAGGGATACCTATATAGCACTTACATTGCTCCTACTGTTTGAGGAGCACCTGTTCCTGGACTAGTGTTGTAGACACCCAAGTCATCTTTGTGAGTGATGTGCAACTTCCAAGGGAAAAAGTGCTTCTCAGAAGGATTTTTTCTGCTCTGAGACACCATGAGTTCAACATCCTGATCGGAGAGCAAGCGGATCAGATCACCATCAGCGTCCCGGTAATTCAAAACAATGTCTTCTTGGTTAAACTCCTGCCTGGCAGAAAAGAAATAGATTGATCCCCAGAAATCAAGGAATGCCTGGGAGGTGTTACATGATGAACAATATACTGACAATCTAATTAATTTTGATAAAAGCCACACAAAGCCTTGGGTGTCTTGGCTTTCTTGATACAGTTAGTACTAGAAATCATATAGCCACATGCATGCTGTGTTGTGTTTAAGCTAAGAAATCTATCAGAACCAAGAACCATTTTCAGTAACACCACATAAATGGCACAATTAATCTGTGTGTTTAATAGAATTACCATGAAAAACAGCTGACCATGGTTACCACCAACTTTTGCCTACTTATTTTTGCTCTTTCTGAGGAGTTTAAGAATATTAGAACAGGTGTTCTATAACCAATATTTACTAATATTTAATGTTCTAAATGGTTGGTGTTCAATACCAGATTAATCTAGTTTAACACTAGTTTAACAAGTGTTAGAAGGCCATGTCCTACATCCTGAAGAAATGTACTAGGCAAAAGATGCTAAGAGGTATGGCTCTTATCAAGAGTACAAGAAATGGAAATTTCTACCCATCACAATTGAGTCAGAAGTGTGTGTCATTCCTCACTCATTGACAATCCCAAGAAGGACTAGTGTCTGCACAGATGGCCCTGGGCCAACTCAAAGTTTAACTTCTTCAAGACACTTGAAAAGTATTTCATACACAAAACATGGCAATGACCAAGTAGAATGTGGAAAATCTCAAACTAGAATGAACCTGACAAATGTTTAAGTATCAAATATACAGACAAGTGCTTGCATTGTACCTCATCAATTCCATTAGATCTTTGAATGATGGAATGCTGCTCACATCCTCTTCCACTGAGATGTCCCTGTATTTAGAACACATCTAATCATTACATATCATGACAAGAGAATAGTTGATGTTTCTTCATCAGCAAACTTGAAGACTATTTTGTTATTACCTGATGGTGGTCACAGTCTCATCATAGTAATAACAGCGAACTTTATTAACTGTGTCTTCCTGCTGTGGTAAATCTTTTATGATCTTCACAAAAGCACATGGGAAAATCCCAGTGGCACCATCAGCAGTTCCCTGGAATGATAGAAAATGTTAGAGACAAGAAAACCATGCCATATTGACCACATGCAATGGGTTCTGGAATTCAATTAATTTACACAGAAACCACAGTAAGAATTTTTCCATTATAATCAATAAAATAAATTCTATGGAAGTGACCTGATGGCATCCCCACAAAAAGGTTATACAATTACATAGTCAAATAGCAGGCAGGGGAGTGAAACAGTGTGTAAAAAATGCAAGTCAGATGGTTAGCAAGGAAGGCTGTGGTGTTCGAGCAAGCAGAGATATCATATCAGCAAACACACAGTATGTTCTCCTCATCCTTTTTTCAGAACACTGCTGCATTGCCCAAGTTCTCTCTAATCAGGCTGACGTGTGTTGTGGTATGAAGCATGAAGCATACATCAACTCACCCTGAGGCAAGAAACCAATTAATTGCTGAAATGGAGTTTCCATCTCCTTTCTGTGGCCTTTCTATGTTGTAATCACTTCCAAAGAATTTAAAAACATTCCAGCAGAAGAAAATGCAAATAAAAACTGAAGGCTGGAGGGCAGAAAATTTGTAAGCTAAAAACCATCAAGGAACCAAACAATTACTAATTTGGAATCAAGGATTTAGTCTTGACAGTAAGACCTGATTATGATACAGTTTCTCCTTGAAAGGAAGAGGCAGGTCACAAGGATCAGGAGAGCCCTTTCTACTCATATATTTCAAGATATGCTAATAATTCAGTACTGCTATTGCAGTCTTACCTCCAACCAGTCTTTGTTTACTTTGCTGAGTAGATAGATCAAATCTCCCTTCTTGAACTTGAGTTCCAGTTTATTTGTTCCAGGAAAATCAAACAGTGCCTGTGGAAAGTAATAACCTTGAAATTATTAATTCACAGAATTACAAAAGCAAATCTTTCTGTTGTGTTCTTGAGGAGAAAGCATAAAGCAGCAAGACAGTGTGTACTTTGTCATCACATATGTATTTCTGGGAGAAGGTCACATATATTTGACTGTATTCTGCAGTTCTCACAATCTCTTCTCCTACTCAGCACACACAAAACTGCTTTGAAGAAGCAGTGAAAGCACTAGGACAAACATGGCCCTGAGAGGGCTACATACAAGGATTCTTAAAGTGGCAGAACACTGAGCACCAGAGAAATCAATATACATAAGCTGAAAGCACATAAGAGCAAGTAAGACCACAGAGCTGAAGCCAACTGACATCTTGAAATCCTGAGAACTGAAAAAATATGCGGCCTTACAGCTTTTAGATTTGCTGCAAAATATTACAAAAAGCCTTAAAAAATTGCAGAAATGTTGTGTCTTAATTTGAGGGTAACTAACTGTTGCTTTTACATCTAGCTGTCAGGTCTGGATGCTGAACTGGGAGATGTGGGAAAGCCTGGGAAATTTACGAGTTGTTGAAATGGAACTTAGATGCCCTCTTCAGGAAAAAAAAAAAAAAAAAAAAGAAAGAAAGAAAGAAAGAAGGAGGCATCTCCATGCTTATCATCCTAACAAAAGGTTGGATAGTTAAAGTGGTTGAGTTATCAAAAATACACATCTCCCCCATTGTCCTTAAAGAACATGGTCTTAGAGGAGCAAAAATGAAAAGGTGCTCTTTATTCTCTGTTGCAATTGTTCTTTTGGTCTTGTTAATGCCAAGAGTTCTCTTAATAAAAAACAAACAAAATAATGCTACTGTTGTGCTAGTGGTTCAGATGTCTACTTATTAGCCTTTCAAAAGCCTTTTTTCACCTATTGAAAAGTTCTGGTAGGTATATTCAATACTAATAAATTAATAGATAAAACACAAGAGATATGACTGTTCCCAGACCTGTCATTCTCCGTGTAAAGAACAAAAGCAACAAACCTCAAAGCAGATGCATGCTATTTTAATCTTATATGGCAAAGTCACATGTTTCAGGAAGCAAGACCCTGCTCAAACACTGGTTACAAAGCAGTCTCATGTGCTTAATACTGAGAAAATATACCACAAAAGACAAGAGTATGGGCATTTATGTTACAGAAAATACTAAGATGCCTCACCTGCAAAGCTTTTAAACATATGCTGAAGTCACTGAAGCTTATGCCTGTTTTAGATTTAACTTATGGGTAGTACTATGCAAATGTGGACCATTTGGCAGTAAGCTGTACACGTCTCAGTTTTGAATCTCCTGTCATTCTAATTTCACCATGGACCTTCTTATTACTCAAGTGATGAGGAACAGAACACCTCTTTCCATCCTTTGTTTCATTCCCTGTTGTGAAAATCAATTGTTTTTTCTCTGTTTATTTCACCTTCTTCCCCCAAGCTCTAATTGAAAATGGCAACCTGATGGATGAGGTACCAAAGTAAAACAGAGTTTAATCTCCTGTCCTATGACAGGTTGTGCAGAGTACTCACCTCAGCCCGGGGAGCTGCGGTGCGGTCAAAAACAGGCACTTGATCTGAAATGCTCTTACTGCAAAGAAATGAGACAATAGGGAGGTAAGCATCCTTCCAAGTCATTAAAAATGCTACACAATCAGTAGTGCAGTGTCTGCGTTTTTACTGTTTAAGGGGTATGTATGCCATAGATCACTTGAGACACTGCATGAGAATCTGTGTGCAGCACTCAAGTAAATAAATATGGATGCAGCAACACTATCCTAGTTCTCTCGGTTTCAGTGCAGAGCAGCAGCAATCTGATGGTGTCTGCTGCTGAGAACAGATGAAATTTTCAATACAGTCAGTATTCTGGACTTCTTTTCCACAGCACTGCTCAGTCCCCCTACTCTGCCTTCTGGGCATCATTGTTTCTAGCATTTATGGCATTTAGTTCAAACCCTGCCATCATACACACATGCAGTTTTTACATTGTTTGAGGTAGGTGAAAAGGAAGTGAGTCCATCTTTGGAATGCTGAAAGGAGAATTAATTTATCTGAAAAATAATGAAGCATGACATCTACTTAGCAGTTCTCCAAAGGGGTGTCAATGCTGCTATGTAGGACAGGCCCCTGTTTAGACAAAGGATGGGAGGAAATTAAGTATTCAGTTTCATTTAGTGTCTGAACCAGATCTCACTGAATTCAGTGCCAAAACTCACATTGACTTCAGTGGTGCAAGTCTATGTCATTAAGCTTGGCCTTATTCTGCATATTATAATAGAAATTACCATTAGAGAAATATGGTCAGATAGAGCTGGACAGTATTTTTAAAGAGGCAAGGTATACTGTCATTTTGGAATTTTCCTTTATGCAAGTACCACATCCACTTAAAAAAATCGGAGATTACTGAAAACAAGAAATACTCTGTGTTCACTCCACCACAAAGACCTTCATATTAAGGATTCATGCACTCACTTGGAAAACACAGTGGTGATCCTCAACTCTCTCCCCCCTCCAAAACTGGACAGTATCTCTTACATCAAGCAATGTAGAAAAAAACATGTCAATCACTTACACTCGGCGTGTCCGTGGGCGAAGCCGTCTCAGTCTGTGAGGCACCTGCTCACCATCAAAGGTTGAGTGGTAGAAGAACAGCCGAACGTCCTCATCCATCAACACCCAAGCAGGGAGGCAGAGCAGGTTCTGTGCCAAGAGCAGGCAGGAAGCAGAGTGTAACAGTGGGAGAGACCAATTCTCTATTTATTTACATGTAACAAATATGCCTCTCTGACCTACGGGATCTTGAAGGATATTCATTACTGCCAGAAATCTCCCTCCTCTCCTTTCTCACTCAGCAGGACACAGCTGAACAGCTGACAGTCTCTTCTCTTTACTCGTGGAGTTGGCCAATGTATTGCTTCACACTTTTTGTACCTGATTTACTGCAGGAGTAAATAGCTTTTTGTTTTTCTTTTCAGAACATGAATGACTGGGGCAAGAAGACAGTCTTAAGTGGTAGAAGTCTTGGCCAATGCTTCAGACTTTTACTGATTTGAAGTTCACTTCTTCAGTTAACCTGCACACAAAGAATATCTCTCCTTGATGTATGCTGCATCTTCACTGTAATTCAAGTACTCCCAGAAGCCCACCTGTCCTGATTCTGGCAGTTTTCTTCTTAGTAGCTGGTACAGTGCTGTGTGTTGGATTTAGCATGAGAATAATGTTGATAACACAGAAATGTTTTAGTTGTTTCTAGCTAGTATTTTACCTAGTCTAAGCCAAGGGCTTTTCTGTTTCCCAAATCCTGCCAGTGAGGATCTGCACAAGAAGTCAGGAAGGAGCACGGCCAGAACAGCTGGTCCAACCTAGCCAAAGGGATGTTCCATGCCATAGGACATCATGCCCAGTATGTCCTGGAGGGAGCTGCCCAAGAGCCACTGAGCACTGCTCAGTGGACCAGCTGGGCATCAGCCAGCAGGTGGTGAGCAATTGTATCGCGCATCATTTGTTTGTTTTCTTCTTTAGTTTTATTTCTCTCTGTCTCTTTGATTACCTCCCTTCTAATTAAAATTATTTATTAGTATTATACTTTATTTCAATTATTAAACTATTCTTATCTCAACCCATGGATTTTACCGTTTCCTGATTGTCCTCCCCATTCCATTAGGGAAGCAGAGAGTGAGCAAGAGGCTGTGTGGCACTTGATGGTGCATGGGGTAAAGCACAACCCATACACCATTCTCCTAATCCCTTGGAGATGGACACACCAACGCTGTATTCATGGAACACCTGGAGATTCACCATTTCCTCATACATCTTTGGGTTTTGGTAAGGATGTCTATCTGTACATGAGGAGAGAGAGTGACCCTTTGTGAACTGCATGCTCCAGCAGACCCTACAGTCTGAACAATATGGGGAAGATGACTTCAGGTTGTACCACAGGGTGGGCACTATGTCATCAGGAAAGCAGAACAGAGAGAAGCAGGTACTTAGAACCACAACAGTACTGTCTGCCTTAACTGATTTCAATGGCTAAGTATCTGCAGTGATGACTGCATTCTTTACTTTAAAATTATGCTTTACCTTGCATCGTCAGGAAAGCAGAACAGAGAGAAGCAGATACTTAGAACCACAACAGTACTGTCTGCTTAACTGATTTCAATGGCTAATATCTGCAGTGATGACTGCATTCTTTACTTTAAAATTATGCTTTACCTTCATGTAGACATTTAGGATAGGAATCCTGTTCTCAGCAATTTCCTTTTTGGCACCAACAAAAACTTTTCCTGAAAAATATAAAACATGTAATAGTTATTGAAGGGGAAAAAAAAAAAAAGAAAGGAAAAAAGAGGCTGTCAGAGAAATGAAGCAATCAGGAGAAAGTAAAAGCTAAAAAAAATTACACATTTTCTAAAGGATTTTAGGTTTCTAAATGGACTTTACTACAAGTGAAGGGGCTATCAATGGAACATGACTTCTCTGACATCCACAGCCAGGAATTAGTTCCTTGTCACAACCACTTCTCTCATTGCATTCCTCTTCAGGACAGCCTGGAGCTGAGAGGGCTGCTAATTGTGCAAAGGTTTGGTACTGACAGCTTACCTGGCAGTACAGGGAGTGTGCAGGTAAATGGGCTGTTATTGCTCTCTGGCCCATATCTCTCCTCTAGTTTGGTGTGCAGGGCATAGAACTCACGATAGCGCCGGAAAATCAGGTATCTGCCACCACCTTTAAGCTTTACTTCAATGACAAACATCTGAAACAGAAAAGAGGGATTCAGGCTGATGTTCATACTTGCTTATAAATACTCACCAAGTGAATGTGAGGAATAAAATAAGAACATAAGATCAGTGCTCCATTAGTGGGAATATTCTCTTAGGAGCAGTTTTGAAAGCAAGCATTCAGTTAAGCATCTGCAAAATCAGGAGTTAGGATATAACAAGGTAGCACCAGTGTGGTATTTGTGTGGGTCTAGCTTGCACATGAAGCACACAGCTGTCCCTGTGGCTGCTTTATATTATATAATCTTAAAAGGATACATGAAATTACTAGATTTAACTTCATGCTTGCACACTTTTCCTCAGTAACCAGCAAAATACATTAGGGAGACAAATACAAATATTTTACAATAAGATGCCTTGGACACCTAAATGTAGAGACAGACAGACATCTAAATCAATTGATTTTCAGAATTGAAGGCATTCATACTTCTTTTTTGACTTTAATATATACAATTGCAGAAATTATTGTCTGACCTCCTCCAACCACTATTATATTTCTCTTTTGACAAAATTGCTTTGCTCTAAAGGAACCCAAAATTTCCACGCACTGACCTCTGAGTCACATTGCCGCCAGATCCTTCAGAAAACAAAAAGACAGAGCAATCAAACATCTCTATTCCAGAGAAAAACCTGAATACTGCAGTGGGAAGGGTTTTATGAGCAATGTCTCCAGGAGAAGTCAGACTGAGATGGGCATATTCAAACCTTCAGAAAATCTTAGTGCCTTTCCCTACTACTCCCTTCCTCTGTGCTCTTTCATGTCTTAATATGCTACCTCCTGTGAAGATGGGAGCATCCTAACTTGCCAGTATCACAGAATAGTAAGCAAGACTCTGCCTTTCTAGCCTCTGAATTACTTTCCCACTATCTTCACCAATGGTACAGCAGTCCAAGAGGAAACAAAGCAGATATTAGGAAAAATTATTATGTTAGAGGATATCTGCCACATTTCATTCAGAAAATAAATCTTTAGACTGAATCTGGGATAACTATACTTCATTCAAGAAAAATAAAGCACTGAGAAGTCTTCCATATGGAACTACTCATGCCAAAAAGCAATTACACAAGATTAGCTGCATTTTGCTTCCCACAGCCAAAGAAGTCACAGGTGAAGGCATATAGAGGCAGGATAAGTCTCCCTTCTTACATAGTAATTAGTAAAGCCTTTCTTCTCTTCAATATCTGCAATATTAGCTGAAACAGGTACATCATCTGGAAGCTGGTCAAAATCACTGTGAAGCAAGAACAGAAGATTTAGGTTACACATATTGGAATTAGCCTTTGAGGTGTCCTATGCCACACAGAGCAAAGATAGGCAATATCACATTTACTAGTATCAAAACCAAGACATTAGGAACTCATGGTGTCATTCTCTTCCTCTGGAGGTCTGATCTTCTATCAAGAAACCAAGACATTAGAAACTCATGGTGTCATTCTCTTCCTCTGGAGGTCTGATCTTGAGATGTCAAGTTTCAATAAGTTAAGCACAAGTCAGTGATCATTGAGAAGATTCATTATGCCTGAAAAATACCCCTTTCCTAGGCTTGCTCACGAACAGGACTACAAAACAAACACTTGAACTGCTAAGCTTTTCCTGAGAAATGTGATCAGCTGTGGATATATTCATAATCCTTCTTTAATCCAGGAGATTTACAAAAAGAACCCTGCATCAGTGGATCCTATTCTAAGGAGATCATTATATATAATGATTTATGCTGCTATTATTACTGCATTACTGATTCCTAGGCTTGCTCAAGGAACAGGACTACAAAACAAACACTTGAACTGCTAAGCTTTTCCTGAGAAATGTGATCAGCTGTGGATATATTCATAATCCTTCTTTAATCCAGGAGATTTACAAAAAGAACCCTGCATCAGTGGATCCTATTCTAAGGAGATCATTATATATAATGATTTATGCTGCTATTATTACTGCATTACTGTAGGGAATAGGAATCAGTTCTGAGAAAAAAGCTTGTTATGCAAGGTGCTGTAGAAACCGACGGCACAAAGCTAAATCCTAAAAACTTTATACTCTGTGCAAGATGTGTAAAATGTACCATATACATATAAGAAAAGAAACAACAGGATAAGCACAAACAGAAAAATAGCAAAGAAACAAAAGCATAGTATTGTTCTATATCAAAAACTAGTGGTGCCTGCACCAGCTGTCAAAATGTTGTCAAGTTTTCTTGTAAACATCACAATAAAGCAAACTCTTAAAGAGGCTTGGAAAAATAAGACTAGGCTATCAAATATTTGGAGAGAGACCTGCCAGTCACAGCAGATAAGGTTCATCACAGAATCACAGTATATTTGGAGTTGGAAGGGATCCACAAAGATCATCAAGTACCACTCTTAATGAATGGCCCACACGGGGATCGCACCTGGCATTTATCTCCCAATCACAGCAGATAACCTGAAGCAAGCACAAAGATATTTGTTTGAAAATGTCAAAAGTGTGTGAAGGAACACATGGTAGTAGGCAAGGTTAGAATAATCTTTGCAGATCCTAGAAAGAATTGGATTTGAAGTGAGAAGGAAGGATCCCTGCAGGAACACCTAACGAGCAGCCATATGACCACACAGTCATGTTACTGGTCTATACTGCCCACACTACAAAAATACAGATTGGCAGGTGCTTTTTCCTCTATGACCTTCTCCTTGGTGCAACAGCTTTGACAAGCAGCAGACAAATTCACCTTTGCTTCAGTCTTATAACTCAGTGTTGTTAGAGGGGTATTTATATTAACATCTGAGTAAAAACCATCTAGAATGAGGGGAAAAAAATAACAAATGAGATAAAGAGAGACTTTTAAAAGGATCATCTAAGAATTGCCAAGCTGACAAAATGTTAAATATTCTGAATATATATATATTAAAAAAAGTGGTAGTTGTCTCAGTTTATTCTGCTATGAGAATATCCCAAGCAGGGGCTTCCACAAGGCGTAGCCCATTTGAAGAAATGATGCAACATCTTGCAATAGTTTGCTGTACAAGGAAAATGCCATGAATCAGCACCACCCACAATACTGTAAATACTACCCCTTACTGTGAAGAGGGATGTGGTTATGGAGACCAAGAGATATAATTAGTCATATCACAAACACTCATATCATAAACTCTAGTAAAAGGGAAACTTGTTTTGCAGCTATAAAGAGCACAATGACCCACTATGTCCTAAGTCATGAATATTCCCCACAAAAAGAAGAAAGTTCACTCCACAATAAGAAATGGTCTGCTTGACCCTAAGCAACCTAATAGTGTGGAAGTTAGAGACTGTTCTGATAACAAGAAGCCTTTTAGAATCACCAAAGATGCTTGCATCCAAATTAACCAAACAGATCACAGGAGTTACAAGAGGCTTGTGGGGAGGCAGGAGCAGGGAGAGACACATTACCTCTTTTCTCGCAGCTGTCGGGGAAGAGACATTGTTCTTCTTAAATCCAGATGACTAAGATCTATTCCTCTACTTCTTGGGCAGTTCCTGATTTAATAGGATGAACACAAAGTCAAAGTAATTCTCCCTGCATGAAACAAGACTCCTTTGCAAGGCCTCAGAGACCTTTTTTTAGTGTTTCAGTGTCAGACGATTTCTGCTGTACCTCCCCACCCCCATGAGTTTGAGGAAGTACCAGGGGGAAAACAGTAATAAAGAGAGACTGCTCTGTGAGGTCTGTCATGTCTCAAAACTGCTACAACTGAGAAACTGAAAGCCCAAGAAAAAGCAGAAACTATGAAACACATATTCCATTGTCCACCCTCCACCAAAATATTTGTCTCTGTTGAAAGCCAGTATGAGTGGGTTCAACAGTCTGTTTTGCCTCAGCGAAAATGTCCCCATATATACTTCTACATTAATATTTGTAAACTAGGATGAATATTTCTGATCCCTTCTTGAGGCTCTGTGATTCCCAAGGATCCTCCTTTTCACAGACCAAGAGCCAGGAGGTGGAGCTAAAGAATAAATTTTAAAATGGGAGCCGAATGTATCATCAGAAAGATCAGCCTTGTCAAACACCAGGACATCGGGCACAGGAGATGAGATTTGAAGGATGGATCAATGCAAGTAAGACAGGAGTCCTTTAAAGGCCAGAGATTTTTTTGGCTTCATGTGCTTAAAACAACACACATTTGCCAAATACAGAGACAAGGTAACGGCTTGCCCTGGCTTTTACTCAAACTGTAGTGACAAAGCATTTCTGTAACAACAGTTGACAATCTTTCAAGAAGAACATAAAAGGAAGAAAGTGATGAGGAAACCATGATTTCTTAACAATATGGCTAAGTTGTAACACAGCTTATCTGCCTTAGTCAAAAGCTGTTATGTGCATCCTTGCCTCTCCATTTCAGTCGTTGACTCTCTTCCATTTTCATGTTCAATACATTTTGCCTCCTTCTCCTCCTTCCGCTGCCAAGAACAAAAATTCCCATCTGAATGGAGCAAAAATCAACCAGCATCCTTCCAAATAAAACTCTATTTACAACTGTAATCATTGGCCTTGAGAGTAACTGCATTGCATTGCATTTTAATGAAGTAAATCCTTCACCCAGCTCTTTTCCATGGATAACTCTAGGCACCATAATAGAATTTGAGAGGGTATATAGTGTCTCTTGATCTGAACCAGGAGAACAAAATTCTGAACTGTATTTTCTGAACAATCTGCTACTCTGCTACGTATCATAGCTTTGACAAGAAAAGCATAGAAAGGGTATCCTAATTTTTTTCAAATGTCCTGAAAGATAATCTAGATACAATGAAGGTACATCTTTTATTAGACAGACGATATGACATAATGCAAAAATTCATGTTCATTGTTTATCTAGGGAGGTGGCTTCTTGAAAACAAGTTGACAGAAACTCTCAGACAAATTGTCTATGCAAATGCTTTGCTGTAAGATGAGTAAAACAAACTGAAAGCAGCTCAATTCCACTACTCTCCACTAGACATTACAGCTAGTAATAATATTAACCTGACAGAATAATGCTAGACCTGCTAAGAATGTTTATAATTCTGCAGTATTTTCTTGTTCTGAGCTCAACCAGAAAAAAGGCTTGCTTTTCTGACAAAAGGCAGATTTCTACCTCAGATGAATGGATAGCTGATATTTTAGAGGGATCACCAAGGCAGTGAGACTAAGATTGGAAACACTGCCTTGCCATGTTCCCCTGTGCCAAATCAGTGCCTTAACTACCACTTCTTTTCTTTCCACTTCTACTATTGTGCTACTATAGTAGAAATAACAGCTTCTATTATTTGGGCTGAGAAAATAGGCTGTCTCTAATCAAATACACACCATTTCTCTGTTCAAATAATTATTTCATGAATGAAATAAATATCCATTACAAAACTGATATCCTAACAGTACCTATGCCAAGAGATATGCCTGCACTAGGGAAGTACCCACTTTCATCAGCTGACATGGCCAGGTCTCAGTTTTGAGAAAATCCATCCACACAGTATGGCTGGCATGGTCATTGTGGTGCTATGCACCAACCCACATACATGTGCAAGAGAAGAGAAAGCAGGAATTCATCCAAGTGCAAGGAATACAAAACAAAAATTGGTTCATTAAAGCAGACTACTAAGAGAATCCTCAGATGACTGAATCATGACCATATGTTGCCACCACTATATGCCTCTTCACAGTTCACAATCTACTCTATTATTTTGGACATGCCTGTGAGCTGTGAAACTGTGGCCTTCTGTCCAATGCACCTGTTGTTAGAAAACACATGTACAAGGATACACAGCACCCTGGAAATATGACAGGATCAGCTAGCACCAAACAACCAAAGTGAGTGAGGAATTTTAATGAAAAATTGGAATGTAGTCCCAAGTCACTAGAGATACATGAACCACTAATAAAAGGTAAACCAAAAAATGTAGCAGAAATACTCAGCTGAATCAAGTTTGGGTGACAGCACTACATACCACACTATGTATACATACACACTAGGGCAGCAGCTACTTATCATTTTGCATGTCTCTGTGGAATAATGGCTTCTCTCTGATGCACCTGATCTTACAAAAGTGCTGTGCAGCTATGCTCAATCACCAGCCATAGAATAAATCTTTAAAGTGATAGGAGAAAGTGAACAAGAATAATATTGTTAAAAGTTGTCTGATCTCAACACAAATTAATCTTCAAAGGAAATAACACTTAGCCATAACTGCAAGGAAGCTGAACATCAAATAGAAACACATACGGCAGAGTTGGCTTGCAAGATGCTTTCATTCAACCTATTGTTTTCAAAGGATATGTGGAATATTTGTTTCTGTAGCATACACATCATTAGCAGTTGGATGCCTTGACTCCTGTGGTTGCTTGAGACTGAGCTACAACTGTAATAACACTGATTTGGGAAGTGTTTGGGGATCTTTTCCATTTTCCTTTAATAATACTTGTACAGATCACCAGCTTTACAGAATGTTTTAATAGACTTTTACAATATTTATTTTCAAATACAGCCATGTATAATCTAGCAATTATTTTTATTATAGCACATGAATAATTTATTACAGTTCTGTAAAATTTCTGGACAAAAGTTACATTAGATAAGCTACTAATGTCTGTCCTGCAATCTTTGGAGCTCTTTTTCAGGTAGTTCTGCAATATCCTTAGAAGGCAGATAGCACAATGGTAAGTTATAAGACTGTTTCTTTCCTATATGCTTTCAGGGCAGTTGAAAAAAAATTTAAAAAAAAAGAAGTTGAAGTTGTCCTATCTTTCTGAACTTGAAACTTTGAGAAAAACAAACAAACAAACAAACAAACAAACAAAAACCAGGGAGCATAACTTGAGAGTTGAGCTAATTGTTTTTTTTGTATTCTTCGTTTGATAATGGCTCGATTCATAGTGTCTGAATGCATGGATATTCTCCTAGTCATGCATTGTGTTGGGATTTAAAAAACCACAGCAGTATGGATTGATAGCATTTGAAAATATGCTTTGAATTAAATCTGGACAGTGTTTCCATGATTGCTTTTTTAGGGCGAAAAGTAGCTAGTAGGTATTTGCAGAAAAAGACTCTTTTCATGCCCTGCTGATATAAACACAACTAAATAATCCATCTTGGACTGAAGAAATTTAAAGGTCAGCATCTACCACTGTTCCTGACAGTGAATTTAATGGTGTCATTTCCAGAATAAATTATTACTCAACATGGAAGAGGTTTACAGAACCAAATCTTAAAGAAAGAGCAGCATTTTTTAAAATTACATGCTTCTCAGAATATCAAACTAAATCATATACCTGAATCCTGTCTTTTTCATCTCTACTGCTTGAGCAAAATAAGGATTTCAGGGGAAGAAAAAAATAGGTTTTTCTTTAGACATTATCAGCTATTTTGGAAGTATGCAACCAACAGTACCATTCTGAGATTTGCTAGTTCATCCTTCAATGGGCAGATCTCACCAGCTTTTCTTATGCAGAGCAATATCACAAGCAGTATTATGATCTTCCTCTCAGTGGAAAATAATTCTTCTTTTCAAATAAACCTGCTTCCTTTTAAAAATATACCGAATTTCTTCTTGATGGAGTAGAATCACTAAAATTGGAAGAGTTAGAAGAAACTTATTCATGAGATTGGAAGAGTTAGAAGAAACTTCTTCATGAACAATGGACATTTTGTTCTCACAGAGCTCAGGTGGATATTTGATGCCCAGGACTATACTAAGTGAGAAAAATGGAAGCTCAGAAACAACAAGAGAATATTTCTTCATCCAGATCACATATCACTTCCTGGATAAAAAAAGTAAATAAGGAAGAAATAGAGCAGAGCTTGTCACTGCTATTGTGCATGACAGATGTGGGCTGGAGGTGGAGCCCTGTGCTCCAGTCAACTTCTCCAATGTCAAAACCTGGTAACTGGCCATTGCAGACAAAGAAGCAGGAAAGTTCCATTCAAGCACTCCTGAGAGAGCTATGCCTACAACCATCCCTCCAGAACTTTAAAACCTACCTTTAGTGCACAGCAGCAGTGCACATTTGTGGCAGGATGATTTTTGTAAGTCTGATCATCTCAAGAATCAAAAATCTTGAGTGATTGCTACTCAAGGTGAAGAAAATTCTGCTTCATCTCTTTCACAAGTTCAGAAGACCTATTATAATTACTCAAAAAATTTCACTGAACTTCCCCAAATGGCAAAACATGGTTGGGGTTTGCTAAAATTTGTGCAGTGATGCATTCAAATCAACCTACAGACTTCCTAACAGTTTAATTTCCCCATACATTTGAAGAAATCCTGTGACCAAATTCATTTTACCTTATTTAGGAACTTTAGATAAGTGCCTGTAGGTAAGTGAAGTTTTCTGAGAAGTGAAGAGAGACAGGCACCACTGGCCAGTAAATAAGCCCTCAAGTGGGCCAGTTCTCCCTATGAAGGTTTTATCTGTCTCCTAGGAATATACATGAATTATGAAATGTCTATATTCCCAGTTTTGTCACCTCAGGTTTCTAAAGGTAAGGTAATAAATCCGTCCGTTGCTGTGGACCTAGTTATTACTGGTACAAAGGTACCTTCTCATTCGGGACTCAGCTATATTTGGATATGCACTTTTACACTGGTATAATTGTCTTTACCCTAGGGGACTTGTACTACTTAAGA